TGGCCCTCGGGGGGGGGGGGGACAATGCCGTGTCCATCTACAGAGCTCACACTATAGACATCCCCGGCCACTGTGCACACAGAACAATGTCTACATCTCCTCCATCATACATGATCGGTATTATGTATTCTCTCCAATCCGATATTTATTGGTCAATACAGGGGGTAGCAAACCTCCGGCCCTCCAGCTGTGGGGTGAAACTACAAATCCCATGATGCATCTCTCTCCGGGAGTCGTGGCTGTGAGAATCTTGCAATGCCTCGTGGGACTTGTAGTTCCACCGCAGCTGGAGGGCCGGAGGTTTGCTACCCCTGATCTAATACAATAAAGGAAGCAGTCTGAGATGTCGGAACCATAGAGGAACTCTGTGTCTACAGAGTCTCCTTTTATAGGTCCTGAGGAGGATTACGGGAGGGACACATGACAAAAACAGAGATCTGCCTGGATAGGTGAGGAGGATTCTGGGAAGTCTGTAGTGATAATTGTTACTTTCTGTCTTTAAACAGGAATATAAAGTTATAAAGTAACACCCAGCAGATGTCTTCAGAGGACATCAGCCATCTCAGAGTCTCCACCTCACCGCCTGACCACAGAGGATAACAGAGCCAAGAAGATCCTAGAAGTCACCGAGAAGATCACTGACGGGAGAGGTGAGCGGTGCCGGGAATTCTGGGACATGATCCAGGAACAGACAAGGGGTGTGTCTGGGTGGTGACGGGAGAGGTGAGCGGTGCCGGGGATTCTGGGACATGATCCGGGAACAGACAAGGGGCGTGTCTGGGTGGTGACGGGAGAGGTGAGCGGTGCCGGGAATTCTGGGACATGATCCAGGAACAGACAAGGGATGTGTCTGGGTGGTGACTGTATCATTGTGTGTGTCAGGTTCCTATAAGGTGTCAGGATGTCTCTGTCTATCTCTCCATGGAGGAGTGGGAGTATCTAGAAGGACACCGGGATCTCTACAAGGACGTGGTGATGGAGAATGAGCCGCCCCTCACATCACCGGGTAAGAGGAGAGAGCAGTACGGAGGCTCCGCCTACATCCCCCATCATCTGATACACACATAGAAACAATGTATTCAGTCAGTGTGTGTGTCTCCTACAGATGGATCCAGTAAGAGGAACCCCCCAGAGAGATGTCCCCGTCCTCTGTATTCCCGGGACTCCACACAGGAACATCTCACCATCCCCCACCATGATCAGGTGGGTGGGACTCGGCATGTAGCATTCTCCTCTGTGATATCTTTTTCCTTTTTTTCAAATGTATTATATCATCTTTGGGGTTTCAGGGAGAAGAATTGAAAGACATCAAAGCTGAGTTAAAGGTGGAAGAAGAAGAGACATTGGTAAGTTGAGATCAGCAGCGCATGGAGGAGAGTAGTCCTCTGTATTACTGGGATTCTAAAAAGGAAGATCACAGCTATTTACACCATAATCAAGTAGATGAGATATATTTCTTCTATGTAATCTCTTGTTGCTTATTACAAATGTATTATCTATGACCTTCAGGTGGAAGGCTTCAAAGTTGAGGTTAAAAAGGAAGAAGAAGAGACGTTGGTGGGAGGAGCTCAGCAGTCTATGGAGGAGGGGGAGATGATGGTGAAAAGTGAGCAGGAGGAATCTTCTCTACATAAGGAGACAAGTAAGTCCTAAACACTAAAATCAGGAACAGTAAAGCTTTCCAGATCTCAAAATGCAATCAGATATCTCCACAGATCAATAGTCTAAATTGACCTCAATATAACGTCATGTGACAAACAAATGAGGAGGAGATACTGTACACCATATGAAGGTCCATCTCCGTTCCTCAATATAACGTCATGTGACCAACAAATGAGGAGGAGATACTGTACACCATATGAAGGTCCATCTCCATTCCTCAATATAACGTCATGTGACCAACAAATGAGGAGGAGATACTGTACACCATATGAAGGTCCATCTCCATTCCACAATATAACGTCATGCGACCAACAAATGAGGAGGAGATACTGGACACCATATGAAGGTCCATCTCCATTCCCCAATATGACATCATGTGACCAACAAATGAGGAGGAGATACTGGACACCATATGAAGGTCCATCTCCATTCCTCAATATAATGTCATGTGACTATCAAATGAGGAGGAGATACTGTACACCATATGAAGGTCCATCTCCATTCCCCAATATAACGTCATGTGACCAACAAATGAGGAGGAGATACTGTACACCATATGAAGGTCCATCTCCATTCTCACAGTTACAATGTCATCAGTATACAATGTTCTGAGAAACTAGAGAACTTTACCAACATACAGTATATGATTCCTGAATATGGGGTAATGAAGAAGACTTTAAAACTTATTTCCCAACAGATGGACGCCGTGTCTGGAATGTCTCTGAGGGACATCTAATTTTATCTTCAGCTTATAATGACATCACACAACATTCTCCGGGAGTGAATCCCATTACTCATAATAGACATCACAGACCTGCTCATTCAGAGACATCAATGGATCCGTCTAATCCTGAGGAACCTTCTGATCAATCATCTGCTTCTCCAGAGATATATGGAACATCTCCCGGCACTAATAGATCAATAGCTAAATCTAAGTCCAAGAAATCTTCTGCAAGTCATGAAGGAGTTCCTACAAAACAGCGTTCATGGTCATGTTCAGAGTGCGGGAAATCATTCACTGGAAACAATAAACTTCTTAGACACCAGAGAATTCACAGGGGGGAGCGTCCATATTCATGTTCGGAGTGTGGGAAAAGTTTTATTCAGAAAGGAAGACTTATTATACACCAGAGAACACACACTGGAGAGCGTCCCTATTCATGTTCAGAGTGCGGAAAGGATTTCACTGAGAAGCAGTTACTTCAAAAACACCAGAGAACTCACTCAGGCGAGCGTCCGTATTCCTGTTCAGAGTGCGGGAAGTGTTTCCTTCAGAAAGTAAACTTTGTTAAGCACCAGAGAATTCACACAGGTGAACGCCCCTATTCATGTTCAGAATGTGGGAAAGGTTTCACTGTGAAATATGGACTTGCTAGACACCAAAGGATTCACACAGGTGAGCGCCCTTATACATGCTCTGTGTGTGGAAAAAGTTTGACTGAAAAGACAACATTGCTTTTGCATCAGAAAATCCACACGGGTGAGCTTCCATATTCATGTTCAGAGTGTGGGAAAGGTTTTGCTGTGAAAAAATCACTTATTACGCACCAGAGAATTCATACAGGTGTGCGTCCATATCCATGTTTAGTATGCGGGAAATCTTTCAATGTGAAAGATGGACTCATTAGACATCACAGGATTCACACAGGTGAACGTCCCTATTCATGTTCAGACTGTGGGAAATGTTTCATTGAGAAAGGAAGCCTTCTAAGGCACCAGGAAAGTCACAAAGGTGAGCGCCCTTATTCATGTTCGGAATGTGGAAAATGTTTCATTCACAAAGGAGACCTTCTTAAACATCAGAGGATTCACACAGGTGAGCGTCCTCATTCATGTCTAGAGTGTGGGAAAAGCTTCATTCATAGAGGGGACCTTCTTAATCACCAGAGAATTCACACAGGTGAGCGTCCCTATTTATGTTTAGAGTGTGGGAAAAGCTTCATTCATAGAGGGGACCTTCTTAATCACCAGAGGATTCACACGGGTGAACGCCCTTTTTCATGCTCAGTGTGCGGGAAAAGCTTCATTCAGAGTGGAGACCTTTTTAAACACCAAAGAATCCATTCGGGCGAGCGCCCTAATTCATGTTCAGTGTGCGGTAAAAATTTCATCCAGAAAGGAGACCTTCTTAGACACCAGAGGATTCACACAAGCTAACAAATTTTGTTCATGCTCAGACTGTGGGAAACGTTTCACTTATACAGAAAGTCAACAAAAGTCACACTCATTAAAACCCTTTGTTTACGTTCAGAGTGAGGGAAAAGTTTTATCTTTAAAGGAAATTGCATTAACATTCGAACTTCTTCAGTTCATATAGCAAATGTAAGATTTCCAAAATTATTTTTTTTTTTATTATTAAAGGCAGCAAGGGTAGGAACCCCTCGGAATGGACATGGCAGGCATGCAGACTATACGTGAACATGTGGGATGTAATATATGGGAAGTGAAAATTCCTATTTTTATACAAGAAATTTTGCTAGAACTATGAACGGTGTTCAGTAGTGTGGAAAAGGTTCATCCAGAATCTTCCATGGCAGGTATGCAGCCATGAGTACTGAAGAGCTATGTACATGTACCATGGAACCCCCTCAAGCCCCTGATTCTCAAGGGAAAGGTGGGAAGTGGGGGGGGGGGGGGC